GAATGGATTAAATAAGATGAAGAAAAATTTACAAAATAAAATTAAAAAAATTGATTAAGGAAAGTTAAATTAATTTGAAAAAAAGAATAAAATTAATGAAATGCAGTCGTACAAGATAACAGTAAATTATATTTCAAAATAACCTTATACTAAAGTAAATATAAATGGAAAGGAATTAAAAATAAAAGAAAGTTAATCTATTTAAGTATAATTTGTTTGGAGTGAAATGAAGTTCACCTAAATATCAAGAATATGATGCATGTATGTACGTATGTACGTGTGGGTGTGCTGGTAATCGTTAAGCAACCCAGCTAGAATATTCAAAAACGACGTTTGTACATACATAAATATATGCGAATATAAAATTGCATTGGCGTGAATGTAGAAAAAAATAAAAATAAAAAATATATATATATAATAAAATAAAATAAAATGCCTATCGTGTAAAAATACTAAATGTGTGTTGCCTTTTTCAGATTTGCGGCAGGAACACGTAACGGGGCAAAAACTTTTAAATGTATACGTAAGCCCTTTACTAGGAGCAGAGCATTGTTAACGACGGAATCATCGAAACGGCTGCAAGATTTAGAAAGTATATAGGAGGGCAATGACCGTGGTCAGATGGGAACGAGCGTATGTATGAAGAATGAAACAATGACATCCACTGTGAGAACGGCCTAGGGAGAAACAAGCGCTACAACTAGAGTGCCTCTGCGAGCACTTCCACTCGCCCATCTGACTGCGTTTTTTTGTGTACCCTGTACCGACTTCCAGGTAGCGAAGAAAATTGAGATCGTCCAGCTAAGTGGCGAGAGAAAACAGCGCTGTGAGCCGCAGCTTAACTCAGCGCCAGCTACTCCAACGCCAACGCCGACATCAACGGGCGCAGCCGAGGTAGCAGATATTAGTGTTACCTATAGTTGTAGTTGTTTTTTTTATTTGCATTTTTTTGAGTATCGAGTATGAACTTTCCATGAATTTAACTTATAATTAACTTTGCCTATTGACCTAATCGGATACTATTGAATAATTTTGAATTTTTTTGATATTTTACTAGCTAATTCTTGAATTTTCTTGCATTCAGTTTTTTACTCACGTTTTTGTTTTTTTATTGGTTTCCGCCTTACGCGAGAGTTTTATTTTAGTTGGTATTCGTAAAATTTATAGTTTTTTTGTTTATATCGGCACGCCTAGTTTTTTTTTATTTGAATAAGTTCGGCATGATCTTGTAGTCTTTTTTTGCTTACACATTTACATAATTTTCCTTCGGAAATTAGCTATATATTTTGAGTTTTAATTGAAACCCGCGTGCACATTTTCGTTTGCAGTTCGTTCGCGTTTCTTTTTTTTCTCGTTGGTTTTTTTTTTATCTCGCTTCATTGGTGCCCGTAAAAATGACCTACTCGGCGCCCGCAATCGCGAGTGAGTGATGGTGGTGTCAATTGGCAAATTCCATTGAACCTCAGCTTAGGTAGCATATGTAAATATATATGTATGTAAAATTCTTCCCACAGGCCGCCGGTTTTTGTTTTTCTTAATTCTGGATTTTTGAAATTCCTATGTACACTTGTACTTAGACACGCGTATTTACATATATACATACAAATAGTTAGCCTTGCTTAGGACAGTGGTCATTTTTATGAATGAAGTATGATAAATACGTGCCAAAGTTGATGACAGCTTGAATATCTTTGAATTTGCATTTAATAGAAACGTTGTTAAATAATATTTTGTTTTTCTAAAATTTTTTTATGCTTACCTTTTGTTTTCTCTTATTTAATTGTGCAAGAGCCTAATATAAATTGAATTTTTTTTTGGTTTGAATTGAGAGTAAGTCTTAGGATTTTCTTTTTAGAAAGTTTTTAAAGAATTGTAATTGAAAGTTAATTAGTGTAATAAAGAATTATGTATAATTCCTATCTGAAATTTAAAGGTTGAAATGGATATGGTATATGTGTAGAATGGAGGGCTAAGTATTAAATCTTTGGTGTGGGTGTTGTGCTTGTGCAACAGAGGGGACATGGGAGTGATGACGGGGTGACTTGATGGACTTTCACTCGACTGACGACCAACATACGGACATAGGTCAGGCTTAGGGGGCATCACTAAGTGTAGGGAGTACGAGTGGTGCCCAAGGTTCCATGAAAGTTTTTGCGATGAAGTGGGTGGGAGACTCCACCTGACTGGACAGGCCTTCTTCTTCTTTTTGTCTCTATCTATTTCTTCTCTTCTTTCGCATTTCATTTCAGTCCCAGGCGTGAGTATAAATAAATTTTTGTTAGTGTAGCTGGTAGCATATATGTAATACTCCTATATTGGCAGTAAGAGCTAGTACCGTCCGAAAACACTACAGTATAGAAATATCAATAAACACGTACGAAAGAAAAGGAACACATACGTTTATAAATAAACATGTACACAGCACATATACAAAAACGGCACTCAAGTACACAATACATTGACAAAAACGGAACTAGACTGTCTCGCTTTGATTTCAGAATGCTTACACATTGAGAAGTTAGCTTACTGCCAATATAGAAGTACTAGCGGACCCTCTGCCTGCTTCGCTAGGCATATCAAAATTAGAAATGAATAATGAACACTCGATTTAAATTCACTCTATGTGTACTTATTCTTTTTTTACAATATAAAATTAATGTTAATTTTAAACTTAAACTAACGCAAAGCCTTTTCGTAAACTACATTTTTTGTTTTGCCCTGAGTTGTGGTATAAATAAACAGAACTGATGGCTTTCCTACACGTGAACATGATACATATAATTGTCCGTGGGAGAAGCATGGATATTCTAAGTCAATTTCGCATAATTCCAGCGATTGTCCTTGTGCTTTGTTTATTGTCATTGCAAATGCAAGACGTATTGGAAATTGCAATCTTTTGAAGTCAAAAGCTAAATCTGGTGGAATCAGTGGAATACGCGGAATCAATACGTCTTCACCTTTGAATTTTCCTTTTAAAATTGTTGCTTCAATAAGATTATTCATGACCTTTTTGACTGCTAATCTTGTTCCGTTACACAATCGTGGCTGATTTAAATTTCTAAGTAAATCCAAGGAATTTAAAAATTCTGTTGGATAATTTACAGCGTCATCTTGATTTATAACTGTATCAATTGATTTAAATGTTACAATCTCACCAGGCACATCATTTAAAATATTCGCATTCAATTGTCCAACATCCTTATTTTTCGCGGCCAGTATTGCTCTTTCAGCTAACCAATTGTGATTTTGATAATTTTGCGCAATATTTGGAAAAACACTTGAAACTAATTCTTGTTTTGTGTGTGCGAAATTACAAAAATTATCTGCCAAAGTGATTAAGCCAGTAGCAGCATCAATAGGAATTTGTCCATTTCCTATCTTCAGAAGTTGTCTTGAAAATTCGTCAGCCGATGCATAATTTTGCAAATAAACTCGCAGATTTGTTTTCAAAGTCAAAGTTTTTACGTGCCTCCATAAATGGGATGTCTTTAAACATGCTTTTAATTCATCTGAAATTTTTCGGTCAGTACCGACAACTCTCTCCCTACCTCAGAAAACCCATTTCTGGTTTGCCTAAACAACTTAAAGAGATCAACTTCGGTTGACCTGCACTTTAAGCAAGACCAGCGAAGACCTTTGCCATCATTAATAGCGTCCAGAATTCTTCCTGTCAAACCAGCACATTTTAGATGGCAAATACCATCACAGAGCCCGCACGATAAGTAGCGTTCAGATTCGCTTTTAATTTGGCAGTTATCAAGATCACACTTCATATTGAAAGATTTAATAACACTTATGTTAATAAAAAGACAAGCCAAATAAGTTTAACACAACACACACAACAATTTAGGAGCTGATGTATTTAGCTTAAAATATATGTACCGAACAGTTTGAGTATCACTGTATTGTGACACTTAATAAACGCAGCGCAAACAGCTGTGACAAGAAATACTAATTACACACATATATGCTACCAGCTACACTAACAAAAATTTATTTATACTCACGCCTGGGACTGAAATGAAATGCGAAAGAAGAGAAGAAATAGATAGAGACAAAAAGAAGAAGAAGGCCTGTCCAGTCAGGTGGAGTCTCCCACCCACTTCATCGCAAAAACTTTCATGGAACCTTGGGCACCACTCGTACTCCCTACACTTAGTGATGCCCCCTAAGCCTGACCTATGTCCGTATGTTGGTCGTCAGTCGAGTGAAAGTCCATCAAGTCACCCCGTCATCACTCCCATGTCCCCTCTGTTGCACAAGCACAACACCCACACCAAAGATTTAATACTTAGCCCTCCATTCTACACATATACCATATCCATTTCAACCTTTAAATTTCAGATAGGAATTATACATAATTCTTTATTACACTAATTAACTTTCAATTACAATTCTTTAAAAACTTTCTAAAAAGAAAATCCTAAGACTTACTCTCAATTCAAACCAAAAAAAAATTCAATTTATATTAGGCTCTTGCACAATTAAATAAGAGAAAACAAAAGGTAAGCATAAAAAAATTTTAGAAAAACAAAATATTATTTAACAACGTTTCTATTAAATGCAAATTCAAAGATATTCAAGCTGTCATCAACTTTGGCACGTATTTATCATACTTCATTCATAAAAATGACCACTGTCCTAAGCAAGGCTAACTATTTGTATGTATATATGTAAATACGCGTGTCTAAGTACAAGTGTACATAGGAATTTCAAAAATCCAGAATTAAGAAAAACAAAAACCGGCGGCCTGTGGGAAGAATTTTACATACATATATATTTACATATGCTACCTAAGCTGAGGTTCAATGGAATTTGCCAATTGACACCACCATCACTCACTCGCGATTGCGGGCGCCGAGTAGGTC